AATCCGTCGACAGCCCACGACCGGTTTCGCCCTTATTTTTTTTTGGAGGGGGGAGGGAGGGCTCATCAGGTAGGCGCAGTCCCCGGGTTTCCGTCAATTTTATGTTCTATTTGAAACCAAATTGCACGAAATTAGCGAATATACACTCATTTGCAAAATAATTTGGTTTTTCGAGGGACCCACCTGGAACCCAGCTGAATCTATCGTTTGTGATGTTCTCAGGCAACTGAATGTGTTCATTGACCAGATATACTCATGGTGAACTCTCCAAGGCTCGAACCACAGAGCAGTTGGATCCTCTCCATCAGCCCTTTTAACCTTTTCCGAAATCAGAGGCAGTCCTGCCCCACTGAGGTACTTCAGCCTGTTTATCATCATCAAAGAAGGGAGACACAGCAGTCTACCAGATACTGCTGCACGGATCTTCACGATGGTTCTGTGTTCAGGTACTCGCCTTACTCAAGGAAGGCTCGGTTCTGATATGACATGTGTCGAAGGAATATTCCTCTTTCAAGAAATATGCGAACATTGGCTTAATTTTCAATAGCCAACATCTCGTTTCATCAAACTTGACAATGACTTCGATACATTGGATGACAATGTGCCAAAGAGTATAATGCAAGACAAGGCAAGGGAAACAATATATACTCAGAATTCTGGTGAGTTTGTACTGCTGCGCTTTCAAAGCCTGAGTCAGGTTGAGCATCGTCACAATGTCTTGATGTAAATCAGTCTTTAACTCACAAGATTCCGGCCGATAATTTCAGCATCGCATACTACTAACCAACCGTCTTGTACTTTTCGGGAGGGTAACATACTGTCACCAAAGCACTGCGAAGAACCTCAAACGTTTGGTGCTGTTTGCTGCATTTTTATTTTATGCCAAGTAACTAATCCGATTGGATGCATCCCTGTTATTTTAACACTGCAATTCTTGACGCACTCTGGTGTCACGGTGATACTACTGATGGGGGAGGCAATCGAGTAGTATGTTTTCTTCTTGTAAATTCATTTTGCGTCTCTTGAAAAGGGTGATCTGTTGCGGAATTTGTGGAGTCGCTTTGTAGCATTTACTTGGATTTGAGCGACACTCAATGAATATCGAGGAAAGTTGAGGAAGACGCATTCAAGAGAAGATGGATGTTCAGTTTTTGTTAACAAGATGCACATGAGAGTTTTGTTTCCCTGTCCAATAGTCTGTAACTGGTCAGTTGGCATTTTCTAGTAAATAACTCCGCAGCGAAAGCCTTCTTCCTTTCACTGGTATCCAGAGACACACTCGCATTAAGTTAGGGACACCAGTCTCGTACTGTTGATGCAAAATGACCATGGAAGCTATCAGTCCAGGAAAGAAGGACATGGTGAAAAGACCGCATTTTGCTCACTACGTTTGTATGTACAGGTTAGCATTAGGCCATAAGAAACAGACAATAGGGAGGATTGCTGTATGCCTAATCATCGAGTTTATGCGACATGCATCTAAACGCGCTCCAACAGAACCTCCATCTGATACAACTGTCCCGTTTGTTCTGAATACTGTCCCCGGAAATGTGGAGGATTTGATGGCTAGATTGTTGATGGTCAACTGGCCAGCTTGAAAGTGATTCTAGCCTCGTGAGCTACTTGGTTGCTGTGAGTTGAGTCTACTCGCGAGTTGTATCATGGCTTGCACATTGTACTTGTCCCACAGCCGATAATTTGACCCACCTGGTGCTTCCTTCCCGGATGTTACGTATCGGCCAACCTGCAAATGTCGTCACGACTACATAAAAGGAACCAAACGGTGGCAATCAAACACAGAAAAGTACATTATCGGGTGAACACACAGTGAACATTATTTAAAAGGAAACTACTCACAAGGTACCTGAAAACTCTTCGACAGTCCACGACCGGTTTCACCTTTCCAGTTCGGGCTCATCAGGTAGGCGCAGTCCCCGAGGTTCCGACAACTTATGATCTACTTGAACCCAAATTGCACTGTTTTCGAGTGATACACTAATTTGCAAATCAATTCGGTTTTCACGAGAGACTCAATTGAACCTCTCGTATATGATGTCCTCCAACTGAATATGCTGCACACAGGCCGACTCATGATTCAGTTGGCACGATATTCGAGATATCGCAGTATATTTTCATAAAGGAAACTACTCATAAGATCGTTGAAAACTCTTCATAAGTTTGACGGAAACTCGGGGACTGCGCCTACCTGATGAGCCCGAACTGGAAAGGTGAAACCGGTCGTGGACTGTCGAAGAGTTTTCAGGTACCTTGTGAGTAGTTTCCTTTTAAATAATGTTCACTGTGTGTTCACCCGATAATGTACTTTTCTGTGTTTGATTGCCACCGTTTGGTTCCTTTTATGTAGTCGTGACGACATTTGCAGGTTGGCCGATACGTAACATCCGGGAAGGAAGCACCAGGTGGGTCAAATTATCGGCTGTGGGACAAGTACAATGTGCAAGCCATGATACAACTCGCGAGTAGACTCAACTCACAGCAACCAAGTAGCTCACGAGGCTAGAATCACTTTCAAGCTGGCCAGTTGACCATCAACAATCTAGCCATCAAATCCTCCACATTTCCGGGGACAGTATTCAGAACAAACGGGACAGTTGTATCAGATGGAGGTTCTGTTGGAGCGCGTTTAGATGCATGTCGCATAAACTCGATGATTAGGCATACAGCAATCCTCCCTATTTTCTGTTTCTTATGGCCTAATGCTAACATGTACATACAAACGCAGTGAGCAAAATGCGGTCTTTTCACCATGTCCTTCTTTCCTGGACTGATAGCTTCCATGGTCATTTTGCATCAACAGTACGAGACTGGTGTCCCTAACTTAATGCGAGTGTGTCTCTGGATACCAGTGAAAGGAAGAAGGCTTTCGCTGCGGAGTTATTTACTAGAAAATGCCAACTGACCAGTTACAGACTATTGGACAGGGAAACAAAACTCTCATGTGCATCTTGTTAACAAAAACTGAACATCCATCTTCTCTTGAATGCGTCTTCCTCAACTTTCCTCGATATTCATTGAGTGTCGCTCAAATCCAAGTAAATGCTACAAAGCGACTCCACAAATTCCGCAAGAGATCACCCTTTTCAAGAGACGCAAAATGAATTTACAAGAAGAAAACATACTACTCGATTGCCTCCCCCATCAGTAGTATCACCGTGACACCAGAGTGCGTCAAGAATTGCAGTGTTAAAATAACAGGGCATCCCTAATCATTCTCTCATACGTACATCCGCGTAACCCTGTTGATGAAATCAATCTTCACAGATATGAATTGAAATCATTCACTTATCAACCATATCGATTCTCCAAGCAGACATTTACGCCTATGACATTGTTACACAACTCCCGTTTATAAAACAAACAAAAAAACGCTGTAAACTATTTTCCACTTGACTGTGCTCGAATTATCAATGTGAGAACACTCGGCAGTCAGCCACTTGACTTCGAATTATCAATGTGAGAACACTCGGCAGTCAGTCAAATGGCTTCAACCGTCATTTTAATGCCAGATATCTTCGTCAGTCAGTGAGTCGAAATGGCCGTCATGAACTTTCGAATGTGCGACTGAGGAAATCCGTCCTGAGTGAAAAGTTGAGGAGTCAATGGTGTGTGGGATTAAACACTACGACCGCCTCACTATGGGCAAGTCTGTTCAAGGAGCGAACGACCCTGCTTGGTAAGGATGGTGGAAGAGAAAAGCCCCTTCAGATGCGTTTTCGGCGTGTTTCTGTTGGACCGCTCGTGGAAATGGGAGAACGACTGCGTTTGATTAGGCTATTACTTGATTGTGCTAACATTCTGGCCTCAAAGAAGAAATCAGTCCTCCGAATGGTGAGTTTTGGCTCAGGATGTATGCAGGATGAATGAGATTGAAAGCAAGTGCAAATAGTCGTGATGATAAAACCGGAATTGCATCACAAACTAGTTGAACTCACTGGCTGTCTATCAGTTGGCAGTTAATCTGTCGCCAAGTTCGGTGAACAAATCAACTGCCTGATCAACAGTAGACTGATCCCCCCGTGACACCAATGTTAAGTGAGCTGCCAATGGAGTCCGATTTTCTACGGTCTCTCTAGCAGTGCCAAGTGCGTTGTAAGGAATCCTCTAACCAAAATCATTATTTATTCTGTGCATGTTTAAATGAAATGTTAAATAGAAACGTACCGCAATCTGTATAGCTTATCGGATCTGCAAAGTTCAATATGTAGGAAAAAAACACTGTGGTGAACTGATTCATGAGGTGTTTTTCCAAGCGCAAACTCGACAACTGATCCCACGTAAGCCTTTTATATAGCATTCGCCGTGACCCTTGTGGGTTTTTGAATTTTTTAGAGGTTAACTCAATGCCCACGGCTCAACACGCCTTGCATGATCAGACACAAGCTACGGTTTGTGAAAAAATGACACAGGTTCACATGCTTTGGTCTACCGAACATTCATTTATCGATCTGTATACCACTGAAGAATTGCAATTCAAGGTTTCCAGACAGCCTCATGCGATGTGAGAGCCAATGTATTCCAAGGTTATGTGGTTGTGTAGAGAAACATTCTAACATTTGCCCCTATCCCGAGATGGACGGGTGTCTTACATTTACTTCGCCGAGGACGCAAAATACAGACAACGCTTTCCGGGGTTTTCCAGGAACTTTGTTCAGGTTTATTTTAGCCCATACTATGGTTTTCTTTGCCCAGATGAGCTCGATCTTGTAGAAAAGATACTTAGAGACTTAACACGCCGTCATCTCAGGAACGGGTTAAATACTACCCCCCCCCCAAAACCTGTTGCAAACCAGCCAAGCATTTCCGAAGTTCCGAGGCCAGTGTGATGTCGAGGGAAGGATTCGCAGTGGAAAAATACATTGTTCCGTAATTATCAGTGTTCAATAACTCGAGGCAGCCTTCGTGCAACCTGGAGCTCTGTTTGACTGAGACATGAAAATGGATAGAATACACATATGTATCTGATGACTGGTGGCCAAGCAGGGCCATGGGAATAACGGTTTTTAGTGTTCAACTGAAAGCTTTATGGAGGATTGCTTGTAGATACCTGACCCGAGTCTTCTATCGCACACATTCGGCAGTGTCATTCGTGATACGTA